GTAACATAATTTGTATAATCTTTGTATCTTGTTGGGGATAGTAAGTAATAAATGTTGATTTCAAAGATGTGGGAGGATATATTTATGCCACATATAAATGCTCTATGATCTTTGTATAAGGGACCTGAGTCCCTGTGAAGGACTTGAATGTAATCTTCCATGAATTCTTAGAGGTGACTGCAAATTCTGCAATTGAAATTTTCCAATTACTGGAATGAGGTGTGATCTATGTTTTCTAGTTGAGGAACTAGGGAAAGAGAGCCATGGGGCAACTTCTTCACGTCTAACCTGGAATTTTTCTTATGGGCACTAGTGTTTCCAAGTCATTTGAGTTCAGGTCACTTTCTCAGCATTGTGGGGACGGGGAATGCCTGGGGACTAGAGTCAGCTTTGTCAACCAGACCTCCCAGAAGCTTGGCCTCCTCCTCCTGCCGTTATTTATTTATACTGCATTTACCCTAATGTATATTCCCTTGGTCAAGTTATTTCAGATTATGTTATCCCACCACCCAGCAGCTATACCTTCTGAGTTTATTTATTCTAGCTTAAAACAAATAAAAAACCCTACTTAATTTTAGTTAATGTGAGGAAAACAGAAAGAGGGCTACTAGAAATGTTAAAGTGGCTGATGGGTTTCTATAGAATCTCCACAAAGAACTGTCCACAGTGGACCCACAGTGAGTTCTTCTGAAAAGTTCACATCTCCAGGACTTCAGACTTGATGTCAGCTCGGTAGAACATCTCTATTTATCCTTTGACACTGCTTCTGAGGTCTTTATTTCTGCTCTCCATTTCCACACATCCTTTCCTGTCCAATGATACTTCCCTGACACCAAGTCCCTCTTCTTTTGGTTGCCCAGTATAGCTATGTACATCCTACCTAGCTAGTTAGGAACGACATTTCCCAGCTAGTCTATATACTTGTCATGGGCAAGTAAATGCTATCCAGTCAGGTAGAAGTGCAGGGGTTATTTTGTATTTTGTATTTTTTTGGCCATAAAAATAAGTACATCTGCAATGCCTTTGCTTATTTCCTTATTTTACTATACACAACATGACATGAGGTAGGACAATCACCTTCACAACTAACATGACAGTTGGAACTGAAACTGGAAAAGTTGCACTTTAATTCTTAGGCTGTGTGTGAGACATAAAACAGCTCCTTGCTTGAGCACTGTATTTTGGGTCAAATATTTTGAATTAATTGTTAAGAATTAGTAATTGTTTTCAATACTCAGGGTCAAGTGGCTATCTTAACAGATATGTAAGTCAAATTGTATTGGATTTAGCCTAAAGGGATCTTTATTATACCTTTATAAAACACTTGATATTTGATAAAAATCAGCTGTGGTATTTCTTTGGAAGCTAGCCTGAAGAGCGCACATAGTTTATCTCTAGAAAAACTACCTGTCAAAAGTTAAAAACACTGTTATGATAGTTCGAGTTCTTCTTTTTCTATATTAAAAATAAATCTACTACTGAAATTAGTGCTGGAGGGAGGACATCCACAAATGGGAGTCTTTAGTCTGTATTGATTCCTCCCAGCATAAGTGGTTGTTTAGAAAATGCGGTGAACTTCATTCACAGTCTAGGCTAGCAGTGTTTTCATCTCTCCTAAACCAGTTACTTCAAATAGTCTTAAGGTCGATAGAAAAAACCTGAGAGACATGGATGGGGAGGAAACTCTGGGCTATGCTACCCATGTTGTAATTTAAAAAAGTGTTCGAGAGAAAGACATGATATGACAGAGTTTGGGTGGAGGCTTTTTGTATTGGGGAAAAGTGAATGGGAAAAGCAGGGAGGGGAGACTGGCCTCTGGGGACAGGAACAGGGGGTAGAAGGACAGGCAGAGAAGAGAGAGTGGGTGTGTGCAGGGACCTTTTAAAGGGAACGTAGTGAATGTGCACAGGAGGTGCTCTTAGTGGCTGCAGCTGAAGGCATATCCTGCCAGAACCCCAAGGACAGGGTAGTACGGATGCCTGAATACTAACAACCCACATAGTAACCAAACTGAAAGCAAATAGGACAGATGCCAATGAAGATTTTGAGAAAAATTACTTCCATAGAAACTAAAGACTTGGCCTAAAACCTAGGCTATTTAAAGTCTAGGCCCCTAACATTTACAGTGTGTGTGTGTGTGTGTGTGTGTGTGTGTGTGTGTGTGTGTGTGTGTTCGAATGTATATATATGTGCTGGCAGTAAGCTGGCAGAAGTAGAAGTCTTAGTAGCACGTGGAACTCAGAAATTATACAACGAATCTACCAAGAAAAGAATTAAATACTGTCTTTTCCTATTTTTCTACTCTGAAAAGCATACTATATATTTTTAGGATTACCTGAGAAAAATATATATTTATATTTTTAGGTACATATGTCTTAAATCACATACCTACATAATATGTGGTTTGCACATATATTGATAAAGTATATATATATATATCATATATCTATATATACATAGATGTCCTTATATACATACACATCTATATCTATCTATCTATCTATCTATGAGATGGAGAGAAAGGGAGAGAGGGAAAGGGAGACAGAGAAGATAGCTCACATGATTTGGGGGACTGTAAGTACTCAAGATCTTTTATTAGCAATCTGGAGAGCCAAAGGTATGGCTCCAGATTGACTCCAAAGGCCTGGGGACCATGACTACTGACAAGCCAAGAGAAGGATAGAAGCAATATTACACTTTAATCAAAGGGCACATTTATCATTCTGCTTTCTATTCTATTCAAGCCCTCCATAAACAGCATGATTCTTACCCCATTGCAGAAGGTGAATCTTATCTGTTCAGTTTACAACCTCAACTGTTGATCTCTGCTAGAAACACACTTACAAACACAATCAGGAAGAAACATTCAACAGCTAAGCATCATCCAAGCCTATCGAGCTGACAAATATTGAGTTTAGAAATCAGACACACCCTGAGAACCATGTGAATGGCAAAGTTACAGTTTAGAATTTGCCACACACTTGGAATTTCCTTGTAGTACTATGTTAACATTCAGTACTGGGGTCTCTTATTGTAGCTCTTCTTTCTCCAGACTTGGTTCTATCCCCACACTTTTTTTCTACTCAGCTTTTAATGACATTGACTCACATATAGATATTCCATGCTTTACATTCACATATAGGACGCACCAACAAGCCGATCTCTTCAATCATCACAAATAGCCAAAATGCAAATTACAGTTAAGTGGTACTTATGCAATACAGATTTCTGTGCAGCATGTCTCCATTTGAACATATATTCTTTTTCCACATTCTAATTCTTTAATGTTATTCTTACCACCATAGCAAATGACAGCAAAAATTTTCTCTAAAAAGCCATTCATTTTTATGTTGTATCCAAATTTGTTGACATGTTTGTAGACTATGTAAGTTTCTTGGAAATAGAGCCAATGTATATATTCATACATGTGTTTCATAGCAATTGTCTGTCTTTACACAAAGAATATGTTTGATAGAAAAAGAAAGTGTTTGATGAATATTCATTAAGAATATATATGAATAAATGAATGAACCAAAGTATTTTCATTGTGCTAGGCTATATATAGTAAGTTTAAAGTCAGTTGTCAAGTGGTTCCCATTTGGGAGCTCACAATAATATTTGGATAACTGTATGAGAACAAAGGTTCAGAAATGTGTTACCTAGGTAAAGACTGAAAAGTGGTCAGTCCTGTTTATATTAAAATTTCCCCAGAAGTATTTTGTTTTGCTCCGGTTCTAGGACAAGCTCAGGTTTGGGGTGAGGATATGTTTTCTACAGGAGTTGTCCCTCAAGCCTGCTTCTGCAAGCTTTTTAAAAGCAACAACTGGAACTCATGTTAAGACTTCTCAAAGTGTTTGAGCTAAGAGACCATTTATATGTGAACATAATTATTGCCAGTAGTTAGTGCAGAGGTATGTATGATAAGAGGATTCTATTGTGTGGATATGTAACACTGAAGTCTTTCCATGCCTCTTCTCCATATCTTTGTTCCCTCTAGGAAAAACACTCAGATGGCACACCGCATATCTTTATTTTTACATTTCCAGCATTACTTTCTTTATGCACATATACTGAAACCATCTGTCTAAATTGTGGCAAAATCTGCCAGCTCCAGATTGGCCTCATTAGTCATTTGAGAACACATAAACAGAGGGATTATGGAAAAATAAATAAATCTTGGCTAGCTCATGCTCGTCTGGGAAGGTTTTCTCTTCATCAGCGTCATTGCCAGACATGAAAAGGCACAGGTTTCTATCTTGAAAGCATTTGGAGGGGTTTTCGTGCAAAAAAAGTAGATAAGGATTTCTCAACAACCCACTTGATCCTTTATCGCACTGCTGCACTGTGAACCAAATGAAAAATTACCACCTTAAAAACCCGCCAAGACCTTTGCAGGGCAAAATTCTCCAATATGCCAATAAGCACATGTAAGGGTGAGGTGAGCAGCAACACATCTAGGGTATTATTTCTACAAATGGCTGTTTGAGAGGTTTTTAGTTGTTCTGTGCACACACGAATTGTAAATGAACACGAACTCCTTCCCTCTGAGTTGTTGGCCCCACAGAGTTGAGTACCAGAGACTTAGAGGCTGGACCTCTGCATCTAGAGGCTTGTAGTTCTCACGGTTTACAAGTTGAGATACATGGCTCCAGGCTTTACAAGTCAGACAGTCACAGGCTCATTGCTCTGGGCTTGAATACCAGCAGCCTAAGACCCAACATTGAGTGTGACCATTCCTTGGCCACCAGGACCCATGGCTCTTTACTCTTAGTGGATCTCAAGAACTCTACTGATTATTTGTAGTTCTTGCTTTGGGTCATCTGAGCTTTGTCCTTCAAGACCTCCATTCTCCATGTGATGTTCCTGGGTTCCTGCAACTCTTTAGTTGTCTTCTCATTGACTTTCAGTGGATGTTAGGCTACAAGACCCAGGACCTTTCTGTTGTTTGTATAAGCTACTTAGTCCACCCCCTGTGATAAAGACCACAGAGGTGTCTTGGTTGTACCTAATGTTTCAGTTGTGGTTTTCAAGAGGTTTCTCACTGTCTTCTTTTGTCTTTTTGGAATTCTGTCCTGGAACTTCCATATTAGGTACAAAAAGATTTGGACCCTGGATGATGAGAGGCCACATGGAGGAAAATAAGGTGACTTCAGCTACTCACAAGCAATAGTTGTTGTAAGTAAGGGAGATCATCTTGGAACCTCAAGCCAATTGACTCCTGTGGGTAGCTGTACTGCAAGGGTGGGTCAAATGAAATGAATGAAACTACAAAGTCTATGACCCCAAGTGTAGGCAATGTATTGATACTGTCATTGAGTTTATATGGCTTCTTATGAACCAATGAACATCTGATATAAACTTATAAATTTTAACACTAAAATGAGGAGAGGAGGGTTTTTGCAGGTCAGAAGGCATCTTAGTACCCCTAAACTTGTTACCTACCTATATCCACATTGAATAGGTGCCTATAATTAGAGATGGGCCCCAGAGATCCGAGATTGGAAGAATTCTTGTCAACTTTTCTTGCCACATGGATGATTATGACATTTCTGGATAGTACCAACTTTGCCATTTGAATTCAGCCAATATCTATAGACTCAAATTGTTGAGATATCTACTGTTCAGTGACAAGTAATAAATAAGCTAGATGAATTTTACATGAAAATCTTCTTCAGTGTTATACATAATGAAAATTTATAAGCCTACCAGACTGCAAGGGAATATTCATTACTGAAAAAGAAACAAATTTGTTGCACATAAGCAATAATGATTTAAAACATATTAATATTTATATTCAGAGTAATTCAGAACTTTGCAATTTTACAATAGGAGAATTGTTATGTTATTTAATATGACAATAGAGACTACTTTAGAGATAATAGTTTTTTAAAAATATATTTTGAGCCAAATAATATGTAAAACATAAATAACCTGAGAATGGAGATTATTTATTACTTCCAAACCTTGTAAATTACCTGTTACATCAGTGTTCTAAGAGATAATTGAGTGCTCTGACTACATCATTTAATTTTGTATGCTTTTTTAAAAAAAGTACTAGATATTGTGCCACGGTCAGCACACATGCTAAGCAAGTGTTATTGTCTATACTACATTTTTCTTTATTTTATTTTTAATTCATAGATGGGTTTACTAACAAATTCAAGCTAACCTAGAACTTTCTTTTTTAAAAAGTTTAAAACATTATTTTTCATTTTACATACCAACCCCACTTCACCCTCCCTCCCCTCCTCTCACCTGCCTACCTCCCCTCTTCCCAGTCCTCATCCAGTCCTCATAGGCGGTAAGGTCTTCTTTGAGGAGTCAACAAAGTATGCCATATCAAGTTGAGGCAGGACCAAGCCCTTCCCTCTATATCAAGACTGAGAAAGCTATCCCACCATAGGAATGGGCTCCAAAAAGTCAGTTCATACTCCTAGGATAGGTCCTGGTGCCACTTACAGGCCCTCCAACAGATAAGTCACACAATAGTCACTCACATTCAGAGGGTCTAGTTTGGTCCGGGGAAGTTTCCCAGCTGTCAGTCCATAATCCATAAGGTCCCACTACCTAGGGTCATCTGTCTCTGTGGTTTTCTTCATCATGCTCTTGACCACCCCCCTTGCTCACATGATTCCTCCTCCCTTCCTTCAGCTGAACTCCAGGAGCTCAACCCAGTGCTTGGCTGTGGGTTACTGCATCTGCTTCTATCAGATACTGGATGTAGGCTCTATGATGTAACCTTGAACTTTTAATCTTCTAGCTTCAGTCCCATTAGTGTTTGGGATTACAGGTGTCTGCAACTACATCTGGCTTACAGATGATCCTTCAAAGCAAATTTGAGGGTATTTATTTATACAGAAAAACTGAATATCAAATTTGTTATATTAATATTTTAAGAGTTAGAATTTATATACTTAAAACATCTAGGATACCCAGCTTTGGTTTAGATGTAATCAGTATTTTTAGTGACATGGCAACTTCTTTTTTACTTGTTTAAATTCTGTCAATAAAAATTATAGATGTCTATAGATTATTAGGAAATCCAAATGGCAAATGTTAGATGGAAAAGGAAAGAAACCACATGAGCTCATATTTAGTTTATTCAAGTCAAGCTTCAAAACATGGGTTTTACAAAAAAAGTTCTAAGAAAAAAACTTCTAATTGTTTTGGGTCAATAAAGGCCTTTCCTTTGGCTACGTTGGAGTGGAAGAAACATTTAATAATGTTGATGTATTTTACCATCCAGAGCCTGCCAAATTGTTCCCCCATGCAAGGCTGTGGGAGCAAACTTTCATTTTGTATTGTTAAAGTGCAATTTGGTAACCACGGGCAAAACCTGGCAGCTGACAGGACTGAGAATTCATTGTTGCTAGGCTGTAATGACAACGCTGTAAAATTTAGTCACTGCCCTACACAGCCAAAATCACATTCCATATACTTGCACAGTGGGCTGTGGCTTGCGATGACAAGCATTTATTCTTAAGTTACACATTTGTAACAAGTTAGCTGCCGTGGTTTACCTGAAACCTTGACAAAGAAGTGACTCTAATGAGATACAGGCAGCTTCCTTCCCTTGACTTTAACATTCTAAGACTAAGGGTTCAAGAGCAAGGTATTGGCAGGCTTGGCTTTTCCCAAGATGTCTTTCTTTGACCTGTAGATGGTGCTTTTTTCGCTTTCTTCATGAGGTCTTCCTCCAGTGTGCTCACTCTGTGCTATTTGTAATCTGTGTGTCTAGTTATTGGAGAGAGAGAGAGAGAGAGAGAGAGAGAGAGAGAGAGAGAGAGAGAGGCAGAGACAGAGACAGAGGGAGAGACAGAGGGAGGGGAAGGAGGAAGGAAGGGAGGGAGGGAGGGGGGGAGAAATAAATCACCTGTGTGTGAGAGTTTTTGTGTATAAAATACAGAGAAAGAAAAGGTGTGTCACATGACTAGGCACTGTTATTTCGAAAAAATAAAACTTGGATGTCAGTTGATTGTCATAGAAACAGAAATTAATAAATTTAGCCCACAAGGACAGTAGTACATTGCTTTGCCAAATGTGAGCCTGTCATCAGGAGGTTGGTTAAATGATGGAAGCTGATCTCACTGCAGAGGACAGTGGTAGTGCCCAAGTTTTGTGGAAATACATTCAAGTCACATGATGCATTTTGTCAGACTTATGGTGTGTTTCCCACTGGTTTCTGGCAAAGTAGCAGTAATCTACCACCTTTGCCTGTTGAGGTTGGAAGACAGCATTTGGAAATCTCTTTATGCTGTGCATCCCATGGGCAGAACTCGGGTACTTAAATTTGTCTGCCATATACTTTTGTCCATGGAATTTCACTGGCCCAGTGACTCAAATCTTTCAAATTTTAGATTTATAGTGAAGTGATACAGGCATGTATTTTATAATTAAACATTTTATAAGAATCTACAGATTCAATGCAATTCCTATCAAAATCCCAGCACAATTCTTTACAAACCTTGAAAGGATAATTCTCAACTTTATATGGAAAACAAAAGACTCAGGATAGCCAAAACAACCCTGTACAATAAAGGAACTTCACGAGGCATCACCATCCCTGACTTCCAGCTCTGTTACAGAGCTATAGTAATGAAAACAGTTTGGTATTGGCACAAAAATATACAGGTAGACCAATGGAATCGAATTGAACACCCTGACATTAACCCACACACATACGAACTGCTGATCTTTGACAAAGAAGCTAAAGTTATACAATGGAAAAGAAAGCACCTTCAACAAATGGTGCTGGTATAACTGGATGCTGGCATGTAGAAGACAGAAGATAGATCCATGTCTATCGCCATGCACAAAACCTAAGTCCAAATGGATCAAAGACATCAACAGAAACCCAGCCACACTGAACATCTTAGAAGAGAAAGTGGGAGGCACCCTTGAACAAATTGGCACAGAACACCACTTCCTGAACATAATGCTAGTAGTACAGACACTGAGATCAACAATTAATAAATGGAACCTCCTGAAACTGAGAAACTTCTGTAAGGCAAAAGACACAGTTAACAAGACTAAATGACAGCCCACAGAATGGGAAAAGATCTTCACCAACCTCACATCAGACAGGGGCCTGATTTCCAAAATATACAAAGAACTCAAGAAGCTAGTCACCAACACACCAAATGATTCAACTAAAAAGTGGGGTACAGAACTAAGCAGAGAATTCTCAACAGAGGAGTCTAAAATGGCTGATAGACTCTTAAGAACATGCTCAGCATCCTTAGCCATAAGGGAAATCCAAATCAAAACAATTCTGTGACATCATCTTACACCTGTAAGCATGGCTAAAATCAAAAACACCAATGACAGTTTATGCTGGAGAGAATGTGGAGAAAAGGGAACACTTCTCCATTTCTGGTGGGAGTGCCAACTTGTTCAGCCACTTTGGAAATCAGTATGGTGGTTTCTCTGGAAAATGGAAACCAGTCTACCTCAAGATCCAGAAATTCCACTCTTAGGCATACACTTGAAGGATGCCCATTAATACAATTACAACCTACATGTCCCTCAACTGAAGAGTGGATAGATAAAATGTGGTACATTTACACAATGGAGTACTACTCAGCAGAAAAAAAACAATGGAAACTTGAAATTTGTATGCAAATGGATAGAGCAAGAAGAAACCATCCTAAGTGATGTAACTCAGTCACAGAAAGACAAACGTGGTATGTACTCACTCAAATATGGATTCTAGACACAGTGAAAAGGATTACCAGCCTACAATCCATACCGCCAGAGAAACTAGGAATCAAGGAGGACCAAAAGGGAGGCATACAGTGTTCCCACAGTGAAACAGAAAGGGACAAGAGCCTCTGAACAAATGGGGAGTATGTGTGGGGGAGAGGTAGGAGAAGGAGGAGGGGAGAAGAGGAGGTGGGAGGAGAACATAAAGAATCAGGAAGATTGAGTGGGGAGAGGAATTGAGGAGATCAAGAACAGAGACACATCAATAGAGGAAGCCACTATAGGTTTAAAGAGAAATATGGCACTAGGGAATGGCTAATACTGAGGAATGACGTGTTTAATTTTTGTGAATTTGAGTTTACATAGAGATGGCTAATGATCCTGGTACTAGGCAACCTGCATGTGTCCTATTGATCATCTGTGTCATTGAGCATACATGTCCAATGGAAATGGAACTAGCACCACACATTATTACATTAATTAAAAAGACAAAATAAAAATTATCTTAAAATGTGATTTCACTGAATACATAAGAATATTCTGATTTTTTAGTCAATCAATACAAGCTATAGAGAACATTTATAATATTTTCTTGAACCAATTCTTTTAAATTTGTTGTATATTTCAAAATTAGTAGCATTTCTCAGTTTTAATATTTTCTTTTCGTGGTTACTAAAAGCCATGGCCTTACAAAAACAGGAAAGATGTACAACAAATAAATGTGTAATGCTTTTATTACACAAATAAATATACTGTACAAATGAAATATAAAGGCATTTCACCCTTCTCTCCTTTTAATTTAAATAAGCATTAATCAAAGTAAAATAGCACTAAAATCCATTTCCCAGCCACAGTAACCACATGCAAGCTACTCAATTATGAAAATTAATAAACCTTATTTGAGCTACAAGATGAGCTAAGTCTCTTACAGTGAGACCGAGTGTAAGAGTGATGAAAGCGGACACTTTTTCCCTATGAGGATGCTCAGCTTTCCTAGTGGGATAAAATAGAACAACTCTGGCGTGGAATTTCCTATTTCCTGTTCCTTTTGTCATTGTCCAGCTTGCTCTTTTAGAGGCTTCACCGTTTCCATCGCGTAAATTTGGCTTGGACTTTTCCCATATGTTCCCTCAACCTGGCGAAGGGAAATCTCCCCGTAAATGCAGAGCTTTGGGGACCCATCGGAGCTCGTGTTAGCTCCTCACACTTCATTCTGTTTCACCACTCTGTCCTCGGGAAAACGGCCCTATGCCTCTACGGAGCTGTATAGTCTTTCCGGTTCTTCCTACAAACAGCTTCTTCCCTCTGGGTTCAACCTCAGAAGCAGATGTGAGGATGTACCAGAGTACTAGACAGTCCAAATTCACCGTCCTCTGCGCCAGTGCTGGCTCAGAAATGCAATGCAAGGGGGACTGTGTACAAAGGAAAATAAGGAAGTGATTTAGAGACCCCCTAGATCCAACTGTCTTCCCGTCTTACTCCCCTGAGCATTAGTGGAGAACTGTTTGAAATGTTGTCAGAGGAGAAGACCGGATGATTCCTCTAAAAATGCACCCAATCCCTCAGAGTTTGAAGAAATCATACACTATCATGGGACACAGATCCCACACCATGTGAAGGCCATCTCTACCCTGGTGCAATCATGGGACACAGATCCCACACATGTGAAAGCCATCTGTACCCTGATGCAATCATGGGGACACAGATTCCACATCATGTGAAGGCCATCTCTATCCAGATGCAATGAAGACTCAGAAAGAACGTGGGAACTTCAACTACAGTATGGTTGCCAAGTGTCCTTGACAATCTGTTTCTGGGGAAAAGAGAGACTGGTCCCCAGACAAACCCTGCTAGTCCTTCCCATTTACAGACAGCATGGCCTTGTCGTATATGTTGCAAGGGATTGCTGAATGAACTTTGGGTGCAAAAGGTTGAATTCACCCTTTTCCTCCATAGATAATATGCTATTGCCATTGGTTCAGGAAAACCCATTCTTGGTTTGCTTTAAATACATTTTCTTCATTTGTTCATTTGCTGACTCTGTCTTTCACCCTCACATATCACCCTGATTTTCCTCCCCCAAATAGCCATTGAGTCTAACAGTTTCTCTTTGTTGAGTATTTCTGTGAGACAAAGAATTTTAACACACATCATTTAATACATAATTCATGTGGTCCATTTCTGCTGCATTCCCTGCACTAAGGGTCACACCCTGAGCATCCTTCCATGTCAATATGTATGTAACCTATCAGTTACTGGTATTGCATAATACACACAGTGTACAGTCACCACACCATAGCAGTCCATAGTCCATGCTAGAGACAGCCATGGTGCTTCTAATTCCCACTATTGTATCCATGCCTTCAGTTTATTGCTTCATGAATGTCCCTTCGTGTAACTAGGCAAGATTTTCTTTGAGGGACTGACAGGGATGTTGGATAATTAGTTAGGTCTTTATTCAATGTCTCCATTTCCTCCAGATTCATAGCCTCAATAATAATATAGTCTGTAAGCTAGCAAACATACGTAGGTACATACTCAGATATTAAGGAAACAAGTACAAGACAGCCCAGGCACAAACTAGTCCTGCTGTGAGGTGGGCCCTTTTCCAGCTCTTGTTTGTCATTTGGCTGCTTTGTGTCACCCTCAAATAAGGCCCACTAGGGCATTCTGGAGTCCCTGGTGGCTGCTTCACCATGGAAACTGCCTTGGGAGGCAATTCAACAGTCGTGGGTGCTTTCTGTCCCTGTCCAAGTGCATTTCCACTAATGAAGGGAGGCTTGATGGAATGTAGATTTTATAAGCTTGCAGTGACATTCCAAGTGGCCCTCTTGAAAGGACCTAGACTTGGAAACTTGTGCCAAATCACCTTCCACGTTAGTGGCTACCACCATGCTCTAGCTTGCTCTTGCATTTTCCATTTTATAAACTGATCTGAATGCTGTAATTTATCTGATACTGTGAATCGTTTCCTTTCTCTCACTGTAAGAGTAACACCGAAGGCTTCACTTCTTTATGGGTTGCATAATCTTCATTTGTTATAGGGAGGACTATCCCAGGTCTACCATCTCTGTAGTAAAACATGGCTGTAACAGAATATGCATTCTATGTGATAGTCAAGTCTCCTGTAACTATTTTCCGTTAATAAAACCATTCAGACACTTGCGATTTCCTGAGTATCTTGATCCTAGTAAGTAATGGCACAGGAACACTAATATCTCTAACTAATTTGCTTGTAGATCTAGACGTCTATCTTGTCCAGTCTTTAAAAAGATAATCTGGCAAGTGGTAGAGCCAGGTCTAAACATTCAAGATACAAAAAGAAATGAAATATGGCAAGAGTTAAGAGATTCTCACAAGTTAGAGCCGTTCTACACACTCTGACTCACCTTCTTAAGGCTACTAAAGAAGAGCTAGATGGAACAAAATAATAGCATGTATTCCTCATAGTTCTGGAGACCAAGTAGTCTAGGATCAAATCTCAGCAGGATAAACTGTCCCTGATGGGTAGAATGTATGATTCATCCTTGCCTCTTCCTGGCTTCTACTGATCACTGAGTACCCCAGGGTTTTGTAAACTCATCACTTCAAAGTATCTAGAAGGTACTGGGTATGGCAACACCAGGACTCTAGGTGTTAAGGCAGGCATTTCACAAAGGTGATGGCTAGTCTTGACTGCATAACCATTTCCAGGGAACCTACTCTATAGTGTAAGACCCTCAGTTTTAAAAACTCATTAAATTTTCTAGAAGCAATTTACTTTTGTGTATCTGTGTCCTCACATAGCTTACAAGTTATTCCATTTATAAAAGACCATAATCCATTCTAATGCCACTATAAATTACTTAAAGCTGAAAAGTTTCTATTTCTAAATAATATCATGTGCACAAATATTGAAATTTCAGCTCAGCTCATTTCCCAATGTCAACATCTTCTCCAACTTTCTAGACACTAACTGAATGTCTTTCATATCTCACTTATGATACTAACAATTCAGCATTTACTTGGACCCCACTAGGAAAAGACATAGTCCCATTAGTCTCTGCCAATTTGAATACTATCAGCCTCTGAGCAATGGATTATGCATTGGAGTTTCAATCCCTAACCATCTCTCCAACTCTGATAATGTCAGAGACCAGCTCAGAGCCCCCCATGCTTCCCACACCCCCAAAAAACCAAAACACTTTACCTATGGATACTGCTTGATTATAATGGATGTAACCCTGGACCTGCTCAATGAAAGAAATGCATTAGAAACAGTATTGGTAAGCATGATGGAGAACATCCATATTTTCCAATATATCAAGATAAATGTGTGAAGCCCAGAAGCATCTTGATTACAATTTTCTTTCTTTTTATTAATTAAATTTATTCATTTATTTTACATCCCCACCACAGTTTCCCCTCCCTCCTCTCCTCCCATTCCTTCCTCTACCTCCTCTCTGCTTCCCACTCCTAATTCACTCCTCTGTTTCTCTTTAGAAAGAGACAGGCTTCCCATGATTGTCAACAAAGCATGGCATATCAAGTTGGGGTAGGACTAAGAACCTTACCCCATATTAAAGCTGGGTTAGGTTCCCAAAAGTCAGCCAACTCGTCAAGGGTAGGTTTCACTCTTGCCTGTAGAATTTGCTGAGGGAAACAGAGGCAGAAGGATCATGAGTTTGAAGCCAGTCTGGGCTACATATTGTGGTTCCAATGTGTGATGGTGAGCAGCATGGACTCTGAATTCTAACTTTTAAAAAGAGAGTTTATTTGTATTTGTGTGTGTTTACTGTGTGTAGGTGCCTGTGGAGGTCTGGATATCCCCAGATGCTGAAGTTACAGTTGGCCAACATGGGGAACCAAACTCAGGCCTGTAGGAGGAACTGCAAGTGCTGAGTCAGCTCTCCAGCCCCTTGAAGCCAAACTTTCTGTTTCTATAGAAACACTATTACATATATTACAAGTCATTGACCATTGGTGATCAGTTCAACCTGAAGCCCATTCCTTTTCCTCAAGAGAGTTGGAGTAGAGCTGAAATCTCCAAATTCAGAAACCACTGACTGAATCCTAAAAATACGAACAGAAAATACCCTGGTAAGCAATTTCGTGGTAACTTATTCACGGTGATCTCCTTCACCTATTTACAGAATATGTCCATTTTGTTTCTTTCACAATATACTTACAAATAGAATAAAATACATACTAGCTTTCTCTAAAGCAGGAGTTGGAAACTATCGTCTGTCATCCAAAGCTAACCTGCAATGTTTTCAACATAGTTCGTGCATTAAAAATGGATTTTATGAGGCCTGGAGAGATGGTTCCATAGTTAATACTGCTTGCTGCTTTTGTAGAGTGTAGGAGGAAGTCTGATGCCGCCATTAAACATGTGACTTACTAAGTCTATGCCGCCATTAAACATGTGACTTACTAGAGGCGCATACAGATGAGGTAATAAAAGGGCGGTTTACCACACCGCTAACCACACCCACTTTAGGCAGGGCTAAAGACGTATACGGCTGGACGTAAAGACGTATACGTACGTAGGCGGAACTACGTCACTAGCCAAGCCCACTTTTGGGCATGGCTAGGGGCATTACGGGGGGAGGGAAGGCATAAAAGACAGCGCACAGGAAGTCTCGCTCTCTTTTCCTGGAGTTCAGCTTCCGGTCCAGCCGCTAGCTGAGATCTGCTGGGCTTCTCTGGGTTTGGTATCTAGTGAGTAATTTTCTACATAAAATACTTAGCGTTACTTTCAGTAATTGTGTGTCGTGTATCGTTACAGCGTCCGTTGAAGCCAACAATTTGGTGTCGGGAGCGGGATTGAAATCCGGATCCAGGCGCCCCGGAAAAGCGGCTTCTCTTGGCCCGACCAGGCACACGTGGATTCAATTTCCAGCAACCACCTTAGGTGACTCTCAACCTCCAGTAACTCTAGGTCCAAGGGATCCAGCACCCTCTTCTGTCCTCCATGTGCACTGTTCACATATGTGCATATAAACAACAGCTGTAAGCATTAATGAAACAGCAAAATCTAAATGACTTTGATAGATGAATACTTGTAATGAAATTGTAAGAGGGAATATTAATTTGAATCTTAAATTATCCAAATTTCTTTCAAAGTAATTCTATTAACTCTTATTAGTAGACTCCTATTCCAAAATAATTTGCTATGTTATTACTGGTGTTCTATTTGACTTCATAACAGTATTTTATAGAAACATTTCCTCATTCCATAGCTTACAACTTACATATTACCCTCCCTTTGTCAGCCACCAAACCTAGCATTCTATTTATAGCTTAAATTTTATTATATATCTCCCTACAGGATACTCAAGAAAATCAGTGACTAAAGAATTCTACTAAAGAGTACAAAAGTTGTGAAAATAAGTGCACTCTATCCAGGTTATAATGACCTGATTGGGCAGGGGAAGTTGCTGTGAGGGTGAGTAACAGAGCTTCAAGGCTCAAAAGCACAGCCACAGATTTGCAGCAGATGTGGTCAATTTACTCCTTTCCTGACCAGATGGAGGCTATAAAGTCGGAAACAAGACAACCTCCTTTGTACCAGTCCTTTACACTGTCAACACATAAACTCTGAAAAAAAAGAAAGAAAAAAGGTGCCTTGCTTTCTTCAGGCTAAAACACTTCCATTGAGTTTTTATTAGGCTAATTCTCACCCACACACTTGGCAAACCCATGGAACGATGTTGTTACGCGGCAGCCACCTGCACAGTAGCAGGAGATGTTTAGGGCAGAAGCAGTGGGAGAGGTTGAAACTTTTCTAGAAGAAAACAGGAAGTTATGGTTTTGTTCCACTACGTAACAGCTCGGTAGCCCAGTCTGTATCAGGTTCCTTACCCTAGTATTCACCCACTGCTTTCCTTTCCTCAAATGGCAATTGTAATGGATAACTACCTCCAAGGCTGCAGTTATGTAATATAAGCACCAATGCATCAGAAAGTTGCTTACCATGAAGAGCAGGGGGAGCTCCACATGTGAGATTTATTCATGGGCAAGGTGCAGTCCAAACTACCACTGGCCCATTATGTGCTCAGAACTGTGCTTTGAACGTAAAGTTCATACATTTCTGCCACTGTTACAATGACACAACCCTTTTCTTTTTCCTTAACCCAATGCCCTACTTTATCTAATAAAACACTCTGAATTTCCCACATGGTGTTTCAGTTCATGCAAAATCTTCCACTTTATCTTTAAATGACGTCATGCAATAAAGATCTATCAGTAGGCCCATTGGAAATAAGTATTTGGAAAATAACCCTCAGAGTTAGCGTATGCAAGAAACTTTACTGTTTTGCTCAAAGCAAGAACCATCGTTGACAGTCAGTCTAGTTGCCAGAAGCAAAGTAAGTTGTAAGTCTAGGAGATTTCCAAGAAGGAATTCTGGTGGATTTAACAGACTTTACCTAAGCTGAGCTCACATGAGTAAACTGTTCAAGAAGAATGTTTCTTTCACTTGTAGCATGAATAATAAAAACCTAGAGACAGATACTGTGGTTTAAGCTGAATATCAGAGAAGCAAGGCAGCCAGCCACTAGCTCTTACCTCTATCTCAGGCTCAAAGGGATGTCCTGTCCTCAGTGTAGGTGGAGAATAAATCTCTGAGACTCAATACTGAATGCCTCGCTCCTATCTTATATACATCTCTAGAGCTGGGATTAAGGACATCGGATCCCAAATGCTGAGATCTCCTTTGTGTGAGCTGTTTCTCTTTTAGACTGATTCAGTCTAATGTAACCCTGGGTGGCCTTAAACTCAGAGATCCATCTGTCTTTGTCTTCTGAGGCCTGGGATTAAGGGTGTGTGCCACCACTGCCCAGGTTCTATAGCTAACTAGTGTGGCTGGTAGAATTAAAGGTGTGAGGCACCATTGTCTGACTCTATGGAATCTTGCTGAGTTTGAATTTTGATCTCCATGGGCTTTATTAAATCATAAGCAATTTATCACGACAGTCACTACCCAAATATATATGACAAAATTCTAAATTTCAGTATAAGGTATAAGGGAGTGGAGCCTTGAGAGGAAGATACTCAGGTAATGCAGATGGCGTGCTATAAATATGATGGATGCCCTTATCAAAAGTAACCCCAGAAAGCTTGCCTGGTTGCTTTCTACTATGTGAATAATAACAATAAATTGACAGTCTGTATCCCAGAAGATGGGTTTTTCAGAGACGTGTATCCTGACTCAGGTCTCAAAACTTCAGCCTCCAGAACAGTAAGAAATACATCCTGTTTTCCACATAAACCATATTTTGCTATAGCTATTAGGACTAATTAAAACTTCACAAAATCACTTACCGTCCATTACTGGGAGATGTATCAAAGATGGCCAATGTAATTCTACATCTTGATTTGGTCTGCTGTTATATACAGCAGAAATAATGTATAGGCTTTGTCTTCCATGTGCCACACACTCTTCTGAAAGCTTTATGCATGGTAACTTAGAAACTCCTTACAATAATTTATCTTGTTTTGTTTGAACATCTCTCAATTCCTACTTTCTTTTCTTTCAGTCTTTCCTGTCCAGTAACACAGCTACAGCAAACAGCTTGGCATAAATTCCTACCAGTTTCATGTTGGAAGGAGTTAATTTCCAGTTATCCATGTCATTGTTTTCACTCTTTGTTTTAAGGATTTGAGATATTTCAGAGTAGCATAAAAACAGCCTGTTTGGTGTCTACATATGTGAACCCAGACAAGAAGCACAAGTAACCCTAAAGCAAGATTTCACTTGATGAAGGTTAATATCTGATAGAGTTATGGTGCTCTGATCTTCCCCTGGCACAGACTTCAAATGTTTTCATCATAAGATAGTACGGCAGAGTTAAGTAGTCAGTAGTATGTCACAAAAGAAACAGTAATCTATCTTCATATAGACATGCCTTTCATTGCTCCACTCCTCTGTCATTTCTCATCCATGGGACATATTCCCAAATATCTATGTGAGCATCTCACACATTAATTTTCATCTCAGGATGGAAAACTTAGTGCTAACTCAGCTATTACCAAAGGCAACCCACTCTACTGTAATGCAGACTGTTGAAGTGCTCAAATGGCAACAAAACATCTATCTCTGCTAATATCTGGTGTGAAGGTTACTATGAAAACTCAATGGAATTAGGATTGCTAAGGCGCTTTTATGAAGTGCAAGTAGCTTAGTCAATGGGTTATATGATGACGCCACCTTCATACCTTAGGCAGCTAATGATGCCAGAAAATTATAGTGCCTTTGTCTGTCTCTGTCTGTCACTGTCTCCCTCTCTCCTTCTTTGCTTCCCTCCCTATATGTTGTAAGATAGGATCTAACTATGTAGCTCATTCATACTCTTTTCAGATTCATCATTTGGTCACAGAGTATAATAATGGCATGCTTTTAATTGATGATGAATAGCATTCTAATTTGCTTTTAAATTAGCTTGAGCCTGAGAATTAGTAACTAGCAGATTCCCATGGATTACTCATGACCACAGGAACATGGAAGACCTCTTTCCACACAACTAAGTGGACATCTAGACTTATCATGGAATTATACTCCTTACTGGGAGGAAAGAGAATATATGTTCACAGATAAAAGAAAATTTTCATCATAAATGGAAAAACCTAGACTTACTTTTAACCACCTGCTAGAAAATTTGACCAAGCTTTATTGACATTGACTTGTGGGTATTCCATGACAAAGATATTTTGCAAATGTAATTTAAAAACCTGAAAACGAGTTATTACCTTTTATTGCTCCAATCTAATCACATGGATCCTTAAGAATAGAAGCCAAAAGCAGAAGGGTAAACCAGAAAATTTGTGACCTGGAAGAGATTTGTTTCATTTTTGCTGTTTTGAAGACAGACCATGGAGAAATGGGTAAGACAGCCAAGGAATACAGCAGCTGCTAAACCCAGGACCTACTCTCATGCTACGCCCAGTATAGAGAGCTGGTGCTACATCTGTTAGTAACTGAATTCTACCAACAATCTAAATAGCAGAAAACACAGTCCCCTGGAATCCCTGCAATAGAAATAAACCTGCTGATGGTTTAATTTTAGTTCAGTTTGAACTCTATTGACTTATGACAAGCAGAAAACATAAAATAATGAGGTGGTTTTGTTTCAAGTCCCTGAACCTTGCTTATTTGTTACAGAAGCAATAAAAAAGCTCCTGTACCATGAACTCAGTAGGAAACAGTCTATCTTAAGGGTGTGATATTTCAGGATCAAGAGGCAAGGGAGAGACAAGGTCAGACACTGAACATGTATGACACCGGTACAATCTAACCTAGCCTGGTCACCATTCTTCCAGAGATAACCAAAAGCAGCCATACTGTTGCTTCAGCAAGTTTCTTGAAATCTGACATAATAATGGTCAGCAGGACCAGAGATGTAGTTTCAAGACTTCAAGAATTTTCCAGGTCTTCAGTTGCAGATTGGGATTGATGAGACATCCATTGTTGTGGACTGAACTGGGTTCTCAGACATTATTGGGTTATCTAGAAGATATCATATACCTGGTATATGCTGACTCATATATGGATTTTAGACATGGAGGAGGGGAGTGCCAGCCTACAATCCCACCACCAGAGAGTCTGGGAAACAGGGAGGACTCTAAGAGAGATATGCATGGTACCCCAGAGAAGGATAATGGGACAGGATCTCCTGAGTGGATTGGCAGCATGAGGGGAGGGGAGAGGGAGCTGGGAGAAAGAGAGGAGAGGAGAAGGGGTGGAGAGGAGGACATGGGGGAGGAGGAAGGTTGAAGAGAATAGGGGAGATCATGAGGAGAGATACCATATTAGAAGGAGTCATTA